CGCGCCGTCGCGAGAACCCTTGGCGGACAGCGGGGCGAAGCGCGCGCGCGTCGTCGCGCGCGCGCGCCGCCATCCGCCAAAACTTCTGGTTTCGCAGCGATTTTGAAATTGAGTGTGCAAGACGCACGCACATATGCATATGCATATGTACATATATATATATATACACTCCCATCGAATGTATATACATACATCAGATAATGAAAGAACACATGGCTTCGCAACGCCAGTTTTCAAGAGAGCGCGCGCTCGCGCGCCTGCGGATTCTCTAGGCAAGCATCGGCTTCCCCATAAGTCAAATCTGCCAAACGGGCATCTGGAGCCGCGCGCCGACATCTCCCGCCTTTGCGCGCGCGCGGGGGGGGGGGGGCGTCGAATGAGCTGGGCCATTCTCGCGCGTCGGCCGCGCGCGCATGTCGAACTCTTTCCAATATCTTCGTCGCCGACGCGAGGGCGCCGTCATCGTCGCTGGCGTGATCAGAGTCGGCGCCGTCACTGGCCGCGCCGTTGTCGCTGTCAGCATCGTCGCCAGTATCGTTGCATACATCGCCGCGTCTACCGTTGTCGACGCTGCCGCGGTGCCGCGCCCGCCCAAATCGTCGACCCCTAGTGAAGTGCCCGCTGGGGCGCGCCCAGCAGTCAGCCACCGCTGCCGCGCCGGTCGCGCCAAACTACCTGGCCGCTGCGCGCGCGCGAGCATGCGCGGGCAAGCGCGGCCGCAGAGATGCGCCAGCCAACGCAATGCACTCATCGCAATCGCCGCCGCATGGCTCTAGCAAACCAAATTGCGGGCGGGTGGGTGGGATGATTGCGCGAGCAGTGGAGTCGGCGACTTCGAGTTCGGCGAGGTGAATTTTTCCCACCAACAAAAATATTGCACCTCCCCCCCCCGGACTTATCCACCCCCGGGAACCGATGTCAAAAGCGCGGGCTTCTGACCCAATTTCCATCCCACCTGTGATTCACCCTGTCCCAGCCGCGCCGCCATTGCCCCCCCGCCACCCTCTGCAATATACAACGATGCGCGCACATTCGTTTCATGAGAACGAAGAAAAACACGAAGTGCACGCGCGCGCGTTGTCGCGCGCGCACGCCGGAATCCTTCAATGCCTGCGGTTTCGGGAGGACTTCGAAATCGAGCGCCCAAACATACACATTTAAGAACGCATCGCTTCGCAACGCGGATTGTCAACAAAAGCGCGCGCGCCTTTGCGAGTTCTTGAGACAACCATAGGTTTTTAAACATTGTCCAGAAAAGAACCGCCAAACGGGCTTCGCGCGCGCATGTCGAAATCGTTCGAACGCCAACGCGCGCGTGCTAACGCGAGAACCCCTCGCAAGGACAAGGGCGACGCGCGCGCGTCGCCGCGCGCGCGCGCCGAAATCCTTCAAAACCTTCGGTTTCGGGGAGATTTGAAAATCGCGTGCCCCCAAAACACATGAAGAACACATGGTTGCGCAACGCGGATCAACAGAAAAAGCGCGCGCGTTCTTGTGAATTCTTCGGGCAACCGTAGGTTTAAAACAAACAAGCATTTAAACAACGTACCAAGCGGGCTTCGCGCGCGCGCATGTCAAAATCGCTCGCGCGCCCTTGCGCGCGCGTTGGGGCGGCGCGGCCCGTGACCCCCCCCCCAAAAAAAAAAAAAAAAACATGCGAGCCACTCTCGCGCGTCTGCCGCGCGCGCATTTCGAATTCCAAAACCTTCACCACCGACGCGAAGGCGCCGTCATCATCGTTGGCGCGGTCGGCATCGGCGCCGTCATCGCCACTATCATCATCATCGCGTCTACGAGTGTCGCCACCAACATCGCCACTATCATCGTCATCGCGTCTACAAGTGTCGACGCTGCCCTGATACCACACCCGCCAAAGCCGCCGACTCGCTCTCAAGTGCCCGCTGGGATGCGCCGAGCGGTCAGCACCGCCGCGGCCTCGCCAGTCGCGCCAAGCCACCTGTCCGCTGCGCGCGCATGCGCGGGCTGGCGCGGCCGCAGAGATGCACCAGCCAGCGCCAAGCACTCATTGCAATCGCCGCCGCATGAGGATTGCAAACCACGTTGCGGGTGGGTGGGTGGGATGTGTGCGCGAGCAGTGGAGTGGACAACTCACTGCGAACAGAAATTAGGTGCACCGCATAGATTGCGCCTCTGATCTTACATCCCATATGTTGCAAGGCGAAGATTGCACCACGTACGTTGCACTGCATAGATTGCATTGCGTAAAGTGCATTGCGTAGGTTGCATCACATACATTCCGCCACACACATTTATATATATATATATATGTGTACATACAAATAGCACCGCGCAGGCTGCAATAACCTACTTTTTGGGGACCACGCTGGCTAACACAGACACACACACACATATACCTGTACATACAGATACATACATGCATCCGCCACCGTGCCTCGAGGCAATTACTCCCAGGCGTTCATGTGTTCTCTGTTCTCTGTACTCAGGACTGGGGGACTCAAATATTCTAAAGGCTGGGGCAGCAACTTCTAAACTTTCCTGGGCGTTCCCGCGTGCTCCTGGGCTGCCTCGCGTGACGCTCAACAGGCCAAGGAGCCCCAAGGCGGACGCAGAGGGGCACAAGAAGCGTCAAAAGATCTCCAAGACAGCCAAAGAGCGCTCCTAGACGCCGAAAATGGCCCCAAGACGGCCCAAGAAACCTCAAATCAGACCCAAGAATGCTCCAAGAGGACGCCCAAGAGGGCCCAAAGAGGTACAAGTCATTGATGTGCCTTGTGTTTGTTTTATGTGTTTCACGGTTTCTCGCATTTTCCAGCTTCGGCCCCCCAAGACCGCCCCAAGACGGCCAAATATGCCCCCTAGAGGGCCCCTAAGACGGTCCAAGAGGGCCCCAAACGGCTCTGGAGGCGGTCAAGATCGCCCAAGAGGGTCCAAGACGGCGCCTGGACGGGCCCAAGAGGGGGGAACACGAACCGACATTTCGAGCCCTCCTCTCTAAGAGGCCCCCAGGAGGCTCCAAGAGGCCCCCCTATGAGAGCCTAAGAGGCCCCCTAAATGCCCCACGAGGCCACCAAGAGGCCCCCCAAAAGGCCCCAAGAGGCCGCCAAACGGCCCCAAGTGCCTCCAAGAGGCCCCCGAGAGGCCTTCCACGATATTCAAACGAACATTTAAGACGCCTCTGACCTACAACTCAGGCAAAGTGGCGGGATGGGCCGAAGGTCCCCATTACATATGCACACATACATATGTGTATATAGATATGTGTGTACGTATGGGCACCGTGCTACTCGTCGTTTTGGAAGAGTCTCCAACCTAGAAATAACATACCACCTGGCCTTACATTCGAACTCAAAATGCTTGCAGCTGTACATTATGAATGACGTTGAAATGCTGTGATGCGCGACCTTTGATGATGTGCTGATCAACGACGGCAAGGTGTCGTAATGAAGGGCTGCAGAAAGAGAGAGAGAGAGAGAGAGAGAGACACAGACTCAGTGAACGGATGGTTGACGATCCTCAGTGATGTTGGCAGTGAACGCGTGTGGTTTACGCACAAAGCATCGAAGCATCATAAACAGTAGTAAGCAGTCGGAAGCAACATCGAACTACATACAAGCTCGGTGACCAGGAGGCACGACGCGGTGAACGTGTACCGTGAGCGAGGCGAAACAGAAAATACTGCACATTGCCCGCATGATGCAAGCAATATTGATACGTCAGACGCGAACCGGGGAGACGTAAGACTCGTGCTCGGGGTACTCAGGGACTCGGGTGGGACTGCCGGGGCCGTCATGAAAACAATGAGGACCAATTTGAAATTTGGCGCGAACTCCCGCTGCAAACATTCCACGAGCACTGGACCGTCAAAACTCAGGAAGGGCCCGTCCAAGAGCATTGGCAAACCCAAGCTTCGGTGAACTCCAGCCTTACGTTTCCCCGAACGACGAGCGGCTGGGTTCACTTCCTCCTCCTCCTCCTCCTTCTCCTCCTCCTCGTCCTCCTCCTCCTCCTCATCCTCCTCCTCCCCTTCCTCCTCCTCTTCCTCCTCCTCCTCCTTCTCCTCCTCCTCCTCCCCCCCCTCCTCCACAATTACTCAATATGAATACACTCTCTTCCTTCCCCTGATGGCGTGTGGAAGATGGCGGGCACCCCTCCGCGTACTGTTTTTAAACACACAGGATTTCCTGGAGTTGGGTTGTCGCTTGGATTTGTTTTTCAAAATGCTGCTCTCGCTGAGGCGCCGGCCTCATTTTCGGGCTTCCGCTCGTTCCGAATCGTGCTCCCGCTGCAACGTGGGCCTCATTTTCGGATCGGTGTTTTGCCTCCGTTGTTCAGGATGGCGTTCTCGCCCCAGCGCGGGCCTCTTTCTCGCGCGCCTATCCGCCCGCCACCACCGCCCCGCGCCCCGCCCCGCCCACCGCCACTTCCACCCACCAACGCACGCACGCACGCACGCACGCGCACCACCACCGCGCACCGCCACCACCACCCCACTACCCCACCCACCACCACCACGCTACACCGCGTCACACCACATCACACGCGCGCGCACACAGACACACACGCACGCACACACACGCACACACACACACACACATACACACACGCACACACACACACACGCACACACACCACCACCACCACCACCACCACCACCGCCACCACCACCACCGCCATCACCCACGCACGCACCTGGCCCACCACCAAACCACCAAGACGCCACACCACGTCACACCACAGCACACGCGCACACGCGCGCACACACACACACCACCACCACCACCACCACCACCACCACCACAACCACCACCACAACCACAACCACGCACACACGCACGCACGCACGCGCACCACCACCCACTACGCACGCGCGCGCGGAGCCACAGGTCCGCTAAGACACGCGTCCGCGGATACAGAAAATCAGCGCCATGGTAAGGGATGGGAGGGAGGGGTAGGACGTCAGATATGACGCGAGCGCACATAGCTTGCCCTCCTCCCCCTCCTCCCCGAGAAGCTGCGGCCTCGAGCACATTCCCGGTCTGGATGGACCAGACGTAGATGGCGTACTTCCCGCCCTTGGAGCTAGCAGCAACTATCTCGCCTGCAGTGGCGTGGGGGTGTCATCATAACGACTGCACTCGGTGCCGATTGAGGGCATCCAAACGTGCGACAGGGCACGATGTACTCTGATGCCCATCAACAGATCTCAGCTAAAAAGCGAGAGGAACATGAATTGCAGAAAAAAACAAACCGCTTACCGACCACCGTGCCTTCGGGCACGGAGTGGGCGCGTCCTCGTGCCCCTTGTTGTAGTCCTCAGTCCTCTGAATTGAGGATTCTCTTGAAAGGCCTTGACCCCAAGCTGCCAAGTCTCCAGCGGTCCGGGTCCGCTTGTCGCACTACATGTTGAACGGGCCCTAGAGGGCCTCCAACCGTGCGAAGAGGGCCCCGAGAGACTCCTGAGACGGCTCGAGAAGGTCCCAAGTCGCCGAACGATCGATCCAATAGACACTCAAGATCGACTCCAGACGGCTCAAAAGACCTCCAAGACGCCCCAAGAGGCCTCCCAAGAGGCCATATTCATTGATATCCCGTACGTTTTTGACAGATGTTGGCGCTCTCGCGTTTTCGGCTTCCCGACGCTCCAAGGTGGCCCAAGAGGCGCCCAAGATCGCCCCAAGAGGCTTCCAATGGGGCCCAAGAGACAGAGAGAGAGAGAGAGAAGAGACAGAGACAGAGAGATAGAGGGATATAACGGAAAAAAGGGTGGGGCACCGAGGTTGAAGGAGGGAGATCAAAGGATGGTCTTGGGCAACCCACCGCGGCCGTGGGCAACGATGTTCAGCGAAGCCTTTCAAAACGATCGGTCTCAAGACAACACAAAAACGACGGGAACGTTCAGAAACCGAGACGCCCTCAAGAGGGCACCAAGACGGCTTCAGAGGCCTCCGAGACGGCACAAGAGGGCCCCGAAGCAGTTCCAAGAGGGGCCCAGACGGGGGACCAGCGCGGACATCGCCAGCCTTCGGCCGGGAGACCCGGGGGAGGCCCCCAAGGGGTTCCCAAGAGAGGCCCCCAAGAGGCCCCCAAGACTGCCCCCAAGAGGCCCCCAAGAGCTCTCCGAAGAGACCACGAGAAACATCCCTGAGTTATGCTGCTCCCATCGTGCTGAAGGACCACATCCGAGAAATACTTTCGAGCACCCAGAAAAGTATCGAAACAATGTCGAACAAATCTCGCCTCCCAGGGCCCGACACGCGAAAACCCTCAAGTTTCTTGGTGCCCGAAATTCTTGTTGGCGAGCAAAGCTAAAGTAGGTTGGAACATCAGAATATATGATGACTCTGACCCACAATCCAGGTACGGTGGCAGGATGGGTCGAAGGCCATTCGGCCATTCGATAGTAGGACTGGCCGTTTGCCTCACTTCTGAGCTTGTTTGTTTTGCGCGCTGATTCACGGACAGGGCCACGCTGCGTGCTCGTTGCGAGAGGCAAGGAGGGGGAGGAGGAGGAGGAGGAGGAGGAGGAGGAGGAGGAGGAGGAGGAGGAGGAGAAGGGGGAGGAGGCGGATGATGAGGAGGAGGCGGAGAAGGAGGAGGAGAAAGAGGAGGAGGAGGAGGAGGCGGAGAGGGGGAGGAGGAGGAGGAGGAGGAGAGGAGGAGGAGGAGGAGGAGGAGGAGGAGAGGAGGAGGAGGAGGAGGAGGAGGGGAGAAGGGGGGGAGGAGGAGGAGGGGGGAGGAGGAGGAGGAGGGAGGAGGAGGAGGAGGAGGAGGCGAGGGAGGAGGAGGGGGAGGAGGAGGGGGAGGAGGAGGAGGAGGAGGAGGAGGAGGAGGAGGAGGAGGAGGAGGAGGAGGAGGAGGAGGAGGAGGAGGAGGAGGGGAGGATGAGGAGGAGGAGGAGGAGGAGGAGGGGGAGGAGGAGGTACCCTTTGCCACAAAAAAATGTGGGCGGGGACTGGGGCTCGCTGGCGGGCAGGCGAGTACGCAGTGCTGGTGGGGGCGCGCTGCCGTTTTTCACAAGCCATTATTACAGTGGAAGGAAGCGCGGGCGTGCCCTGGTTGCCAGCCTCGAACGTATTCCCACTCCTAAGATTGACACGCCACAAGGCGATGACAATCTTAGGGATTCGCCCTCAAAAAATAAGGGAATCCCCAAGATTGGCATCGTGATGGGGAGGTGCCCAGCATAGGGATAGGGATATGTTCCAGGCTGGTAACCCGGGAGCGATGCCAAGCCTGGGGTGGGACGTCGGTGGGTCGCACGGGCGAGAACCGGGGCCGATCACGCGCAGGTCGCGCGGCGGGCTGGAGGCTGCGGGTCCCACGGCGGGCGCTGGTCTCGGGCGGGTCGCGGGGCGGGCCGCGCGACGACAGGAGGGATGGGGACACATCTGACGGGGCTTCCGGTGGCAAATCATACGAGCCGTGTGCACCCGTAATTCCGTTGTCAGCGTGCATTGGAGTGCGCGAGCGTCTGGTGATCGACAAGAAGACGCCGCTTCGTGAACGTTTTCTTATCCGGCGTTTCGACATTGGCCGGGAGTGGGGGGAGGGGGGGCGGAGGGCTGGCTTCGGAACTCTGCTTAGTGCGACTGTTTTGAACCTGTCGTAGAAATCGGGTTTAGGAATGGAATTTCGGAGATATTCCCGAGGCCCGTTTTCCGTACTTCTATTTAGTGCTCGAGCTTTCTGTGCGCGGGTGTCATATCGAACTGTAGTTTGATTCGGCTGGTGAACCAGCCCCTTGCGATAGCCTAGAGGAAAAGAGAGCCGACTCATTTCCATATTCTTTCGTTAATTGAAGTTGATTTCACGATTATGTTATTCTTACAACTCTCGCGAGTAACCCCGACGAGATGGGGGGCGACTCTATCTGCATGAAACAGGCGCCAAAAACGACAACTCTACTCTATGGGGGGGGACGGGGGGGGGGTGCGGGAGCCCGCGCCGATCGGCAAAACAATGCATCAACAACTACCACTTTAGCGTCGACTGGCGTTGATTAGCGTCGGTCAGCGTCGAGAATTCCGTGGCTCTTTTCCTACAGGCCGCGACTCGTTCCCTCGTGCTGCAATGCCCGGCTGAAATCCAGGTCCAGTGCCCCGCATCGCCCCCCTGACTCCTATGCAGCTCCCTAGCCTCGCTCCCTCGTTCGTCCGGGTCATTCCTCCCGTTCCCTCGGCCTCCTTTGCTCCATCCTCCTGCCCGTCCCTCCTTCTCATCCTTCCTCCTTATCATGGTCCTCGTCATCCTCTTCATCCATCTCCTCCAATCCCTCTTCAACTGTGGGTACTGTGGGTGCTAAAGAGGTCTGCCATGCCGAGCACAATAAACCCATGGGCGATAGTCCAGGTTAAAGGCGTGTGACCAAGGCCCCCAGGGGGGTGCCGCTGACCTGCTGTGGGGAGTGAATTCGACACTTGGTACTAGGAAGCTTGCCTTGAAGGAGGCTCACTTCCTCCTCCTCATCTTCCTCCTCCTGCTCCCCAGCGGCTCCTCCACGTGATTTGCCTTCTTGTTTTTCCTGCTCACTCCTCCACGGTGTGAAAAACTCAGTGGCGGGGAAAAGTTCAGGTTGCATGCCACCATCTGCGCTTCACAAAACTTACACAAAACGCATACTACACTATCAATGTGGCTGGAAACACGCGTCACATTATACATCACGGTATCCACTTTACTCTATGCGTTGAATGCTACACTCGGTGATCATGCAGTTAGAATTTCCATAGACGTCGAGACGAATACAGCTGTCCCAACAAGGCGGCGCCGAATGACGAAACTTACAGAACGTGAGGCACTGACCAATCCATGCTTCTTGTACGCTCACAATAATGCATGCTGAATTCTGCGCGATCGCAAAGGCCTCCAGAATCCACAGCCACGCTCGAGAACTGGCACAAACCGTCTGGACTCGCAAACGTCCTGAAATTACGGTACCGCAATAAGTCGAACGCCCGGACGGAACCGTCCTCGCAAGCAGAATTAGAAAACAAGCATGAGGAATCAAATGGAGCTCAAAATAGCAACGACTACGACAACGATGCATATACCAAAAGCAACACCAACAAGCTGCTCTGTGCTCGCGGTGATGTAAACGGTCGAACCGATGGCGTCAATGATCAAATCTATCAAGAAAAGAATACTCCATAACATGGAAGACTGATGAGCAGAGATAATGCAATCGATCAAATCGAACCGCTCGTGAGCTTCCCGAACAAAGAAATTCAACTGTAAAAACACTGTACCTGTCGGTCTGCAGGGGGGAGGGGGTTAAGGATAGTCCGGGCACGAAAGAGGCACTCCCAAAAGAAAAGCTTCGCACAGACGACCACGAAAGCTGTCTGCGTTCAAGGGCGCTCTGGAACACTCCGAGAAAGCTCCTGAACGCTTTGGAACGATTCATCCCAGTGCTGTGGCCGCCCGGTCGTATGATCTAAATCGATTCGGCGACCATTCTCGGAAAGCCTGGTTGGCTGGTGGACATGATGCACAACTCTAGATCTGCGCATCTCCCCTCTAGCGTGCTCAGATTGGCCATCGAGGCTCCCACTGTGAAGCTTCGCGAACGACGAATGGTCAAACATTCTGCCGCAACTTCACTTTACGAAGCCGCACCGGATGCGCAGGCCGACGCTTCATAGCTGACACAGTTAGGCCCTGCCGCAACAATGCGAGACGGAGGGGCCGATGAGCGAGCCCAAACTACCGCACACCTCACGAATCGGCACGACCTTTGAAGCAATGCAGCATCATCCTGGCACTTGGCTGGAAGCGCACGCGCGGTCGGCATGCATCCCTGCCACTTCTGGAGCCGTTTTTTTTGCCGTTTCCAGTCGCCGTTTTCTTGCCGTTTCCATTTTCAAGGGGGACTTTTTCGAAAACGGTGAAAAAACGGCCCTGCCGTTTCTGGGGCCCCCTAAGTCCCTGCCTCGTGCCATGCGGAAGGCTCCTCTTGCAAGCACGAGCCGCAGAAACTGGAGCGTCCACGCAGGGTGAGCGCAGCGCGCTGATTACGAGGAGGCACCCCGCTCGTCGGGAGCGGCCAAGAGGGGGGTGTCCAAGAGGGGGGGGTGCAAATCATGACCGGCGCCATGTGCGCGGCCCAGCGGGGGGGGGCCTGGGACGCGAGGAAATAAGACGAAGCGCCATGAGATCTGGGGAAATATCATGGCCCGCGCCATGAAATCCACCCCCCCCTCTAGTCATCACCCCCCTCTCTGCCGCCCCCGAAGGACGAGAGGAGGCGCCCCGAGCTCGAGGCCTGGGGCTCTCCCTCTCCCGAGGCCCGGGGCCTCCGCGGAGGGGGCAGGGGAGAGCTGCCACCAGGGGGCGACGACCTGCCAGACCACCCCAACCCAACCCGAGGACCCGAATCTGACCCAAATTTTTCGGGTTGGGGGGGGCACGGGCACCAAGACCCGAATTGGACCCGAATTTCGGGTGGGGGGGGGGCACGTGCACCATGTGTCTTCTCAACGCTCCCCGCCCCCCCCCCCCCCACTGGAAGTGGAGGGCAAATGGAGGCATTCGGGTTGGGTTGGGGTGGTTTGGTAGGTGGTGAAGGGGGGGGAGGGCACAATCAACCCGTAGAGTCAGGATGCGCGATGAGGATGCAAGGGCCTTGGACGCCCAGTTCGAAGCTGTTCGAGCGGGGCGCAGCCAACGAAGCTGGCCCAAGGATGGGCCGAGGAGGCAAGGATGCAAGGGTACCCTCGGGAACGCTGCCCGTCCTGACTGTGCGGGTTGACTGTAGGGCGAACGGCAGTGAGATTGCCAACTAAGTCCTCGCTCGCGCTGAGGATGGCGTTGCCCTGCGGCGTGAAGCAGATCGCCGAGATGGGCGCGGTGTGCTCGGAGCAGTCGCTTTGGCTGGCCGACCAGCCCAGGGATGGGCCGACTGGGATTCGGCAAGTCTGATGGCATCATTCCTGCGTTCTCCGCGCTGTGAGCGGTAGGCGTACATCAAGCCCCATGATCGTAAGGCTGCTTGAAATCACTCGTTTCCGACAACACGACACTACAATTACCCCCTCCCCCCTCGGAATGGACCGCACCCAAACAGGCACAAATGTTGCGAACCTGTTTTCAGCGCTCGTCTCACTACGGATGCAGATCTTGTTCCTTGTGCCTCGGCACTGATGGCGCGCCCAGGATCGCTTCGAGCACCAGCGGCTCCCAAGCACTCCCAGGGGGCGGCCACTGGTGGCCCCTAAGACTTCTAAGACCAGCCCGAAGACGAAGACGACCCGAAGACGGCCAATGTCTTGCCTAAGATGACCTCGCATACGCCCAGGGATGGCATCTGGGACATCCAAGACGGCCCCAAGGCACCTCGCCACGCCCGAAAGACCATCCACGGTGACCCCAAGACCCCAAGGAGCCTCTCCGAGGGAAAGCCTGCTGGCAGAGCCTTGAGAGCTAAAAACTGCAAGTGGTTAATCAATGGTTCGTTCGCCTGGCCACCCCAGATGACTCGAGCTTGCCTCCGCTTGGCTAAATAATTCGTCCTGGATGGCACCATGGCGGGACAGGACGCTCCAACCGCCCGAAGCCTGCCCAAGGCTTGCCCAAGACAACCTCAAGATGGCCCACCCAATACGGCTGCGAACCTTTCCGAAGAGTGGCCCCTTAGAAGGCCCCAGGACCACCACCGAACGGCCTCGAGAACCCCTCTGACGGCCCCGAGAGCCCCAAAGAGCCCCCAAGAAGCCCCCAAGGGGGGCCCCAGAAACACCTAAAGCCACAAGGCATGACCATGGTTATGCAATGCCACAGCAATGCCACGCTGCAACATTGCCACGCGACTTGCTCAAGCGCAGGGGTAGCTGGGGAGGGGGGGGGAGACGGGGGAGAGGGGACGAGGCAAGCGAGGTGCGCTCGCGCCATATTTGACACCCTACCCCTCCCGAATCCCAATCCATTGCGCTGATGTTTCTCTATCCGCAGACGGGTGGATCCGACCCCCCTGGAAGGACTACAATACGTCATGCGCAATCGCAAAAGGGGAGCTGCGTACGTTGGAAGGGGAGGCGGCGGACGAGCAAGAAGATGAGCAGGAGGAAGAAGAGGAGGATGAGGAAGGAGGAGGACGATGAGAAACAGCAGCAACGGGAACGGGAGGAGTGGGAGGAGCGGGATGACCAGGGGGGAGGCGGGGAAGGGGAAAGGAGCGGGGCGGCAACGATGAGGGAGCACTCGGATGCAGGAAAGGTGGCGCGCGCTGCGGCGAGAGCGCTGTCGCAGATTTTGGCTGGAAACTGGCCGCCCGCTTGGGCGTGGCTCGTAGGTTTTTGCCGTGGCCGCTCCCATCAGAGGCCTGGCTGCGCGCGAACAAATTGTATGAAGCCAATTCGTGGATTATCCGCGATACTCCAAATCCCTTATTAATCGACCCCCCCCTAAAAAACCAGACCCCCCTCCAAATGCGACCTAATATTCCGGACCCCCTCTTCGATGGGGCGCCTTAATAAGCCAGACCCCCTTAGCTCCAATCCAAAGAAAGCGACCTAATAAACCGGACCCCCTTAATGACCAAAAGGGCGCCTTAAAAAACCGGACCCGGGGGACGATTAATAAGGGATTTGGAGTACTCCCGTGACCAGCCCCGTCCCCCCCAATCCCCATCCCCCCCCCTTGTCACGTCACGAAGCGCCGGCGCCGTCTGGGGAGTAATTCGCCACTCTGGTCATCCGCAAGCACTCCCAGAAGGAAGGGGCCCACAAGCACACACACACACACACACACACACACACACACACACACATCAAATGCGTACGCACGCACAAAAAGAGTCCCCATGTCTTCCCATATTTGTCTGGGTCGTTGTCCTCCCCCCCACTTCACAGATTCTCCCACGTCTTCTTGGGGATCGACGATTGATTGTGTCTGTGTGCTTCTTCCCCTCCTGACAGAAGGCGCCCGGCGCGACTCGCCACCTTCGGGAGCGGCCAAGAGGGGGGTGTCCAAGAGGGGGGGGTGCAAATCATGGCCGGCGGCATGTGCGCGGCCCACCGGGGGGGCCGGGACCGTATTGGAATAAGAAGAGGCGCCATGAAATCTGGGGAAGTATCATGCCCCCCGCCATGATATCCACCCCCCCCTAGTCATCACCCCCCTCTTTTCCGCCCCCGACCACCTGCTGGCCCCCTCCCCCCCCCAGCCGGTCACATCGCCAGGGGATCAAAAGAGCGGTCTCCTCCTCCTCGACCTCCATAGACTTGAAGGGGCCCCAGGACACACGAATAAATACACACAAATAAAAGCATCCCCATATTTTCCCATATTTTCTGGGTTTCTGTCTTCCCCCCCACTTCCCATATTTCCCCATATTTTCTGGAGAATCGCCGATGAATTGTGTCTGTGTGTTTCTTTCCCTCCTGAATAGCAGCGTTTCCTCCAGGTTGCTTCGGGGGTTCCTCTCTAAGAACCCCAGAAAACGGCGCCTCTGGGACAGGTCGTCGCCCTCTCGACGATGCATCCGGGAACTCCCCGTCTCCCCCCCCATCCCCCCCCCCGGTCACGAACACGTTATCGCCAGGAGATTGAAAAACCGGGCTCATGGTGGTCTCCAAAAGGTGCTCTCTTTTGCCTCTTGCGCTCCCGCCTGCGCGGGGCCCATCTTTTGCCGGCCTCGCCAGGCCGTCGGAAGCCGGGCGTCGCGCGCCAGTCTCAGTGCCCGGTTGCGCCAGCATTGACTCTTGTGGCATGGGAGGGAGGACGGAAATCGCCGGGGCCCAGTGAGTCGTTGGGGAAGGCTCGCTCGACTCCCACTGGCAATCGTGTCAGCACTGTGCGGCATGTGCAACCTCTCTGGAGGCTTGCGTCCGACCAGACCACAGTGCGTAAACATCATACCATTGAAGGGGCCCTGGGACACACAAGTTAACACACACAAATAAAAAAGATTCCCCATATTTTCCAATGTTATCTGGGTCTTTGCCTTCCCCCCCACGTCCCACATGTTCCCCTATCTTCTGGGGAATCGACGACTCCTTGTGTCTGCGTGTTTTTGTTTTCCCCTCCTGAACCATATCCTTGCCCGCGCGGTTTTGGACGCCCGAAATGGGTGTGGAAAGAATGGGTACAATGCCCAACAACAAATGCTGTCCCAAACCAGCAGCGGCCGCTGTTGGGCGGGCGGCCTCCTGTCTCGAATGGACACAGGCCGCGCGGGGCGTGGACAGCGAGTCCTGTTCAAAATGAACAGGATCCGCTGTTGGGCATTGTACCCATTCTTCCCGTACCCATTTCGTTGGTGCAAAGAAGAGGAGGAGGAGGAGGAGGAGAAGGAGGAGGAGGAGGAGGAGGAAGAAAAGGAGGAGGAGGAGGAGGAGGAGGAGGGGGAGGAGAATGGGGAGGAGGAGGAGGAGGAGGAGGAGGAGGAGGAGGAGGGGGAGGAGAATGGGGACTCGGTGTGGCCAGAAAGCGGTGTGGCCAGAAAGCGCCCGTCCCCCGGCACTCGCCAGAAAACAAAAAAGAGAGCTCCGACCCCCCCGCGCGCGCCGCGCCCCTCCCGCGCCCCTATGGGGCCTCTGCCCGCCCGCGAGCTCTTGGGCGACGGCCCCATGGGCGGAAGGCTGGCGCGCGCCCGGGGACGGCCGAGGGAGCCCCTTGCCGGGTCCGCGGCCTCGGGCGGGGGGACCACGCGGGCGAGGCGGATGAAGGGTGCAGTCGGGGCGTTGACCTAAGAAAAACCCTAAAAAAAGGAGCGAGGCCCCTTTTTGTCCCATCAGTTCTGCTCCTGTTCCCATGGAAACCCTCGGGGAAACCTGTGGCACGCGGTAAAACAGTCGAGGAACACCGAGCCCCTCCCCAACGGAAAGGGTTCCTTCTTCAGCGCCCCGACTGTACCCTGCCCATTCCGCGTCCTCGCCGGCCGCGAGCAAGGGGGGAAGATGTGGAGTAGAAGGCCTCCTCAGAGGGCGGCAGGACTTCTCAGAAGCCCTCGCGCCCTCTGACAAGTGTCTTCTTGCTGTCTTCGGTGAAGGCTTAGAGAACTTCTCCAGAGGCTGGGGGACTAAGGCTAGGGGACTTCCGAACCTTCTGAGAAGGCCTTCTCCTTCTCACTTCCTCGGCGGTGGGCAAGCCTCCCGTTAGTCAACCACCCTCTAGTGCTGGACCCGCAAAAATGACGGCCGCGACGCCCTCTCGCGAACCGAGAACGGCCAATTCGCTAATCGACGTCAGGGTAAGAGGTCTATCAACCTCCGACTTCCCCCCCTCGCTCGCCGCCGACCTCAGAGCTGTCATCAAGAGGAGCGTTCCCCGCCACTCCGCCGGAGGGCGTCGCCCGCCCCCAGGGGGAACCCTGAGGGGATGGCCAAGGAAAACGGCGAAGGAGACAGGCTGCAGGGGCAAGGGCGCAAGGATACCACAAGGAAAGTATTGGAAGCTTGGGCGAGGGCTGGCAAATCCGTGGCTGCTAAGACGTCTCCCCGGAAAAAAAAAGCAGATTCCCGGAATCAAGCTCAGCGCACTAAATAGCAAACGAGCTGGTTCCCGGAAAGGCAAAAAACACAGATTCCCGGAGCTCCGTTTTAGCAGCCACGGGTGTGCCCGCCGTCGCCAGGCTTCTGACTGAGTCCCTATCACGAAACATCCCCCCAAAAAAAAACATAGCACGGTCTTTTGATGTTTCTGTTTTATGTCAACTAGTAGCCATACGAAGACGGGGGACCCTACAACTCAATCTCGCCACGTGCGCCTATACAGGAGTCTGATCAGATCCCTGCCTACTCCGAACCGCAGTTTAGCGCGGGCGGGGTGGGCGGGACTGCAGCAGCGCCTCCCCACCGCCGCAGCCATCTGCCTCGGAGGCCCCACAGCGGGCCGAGAGCACATCGCGAACTGTACCCCAACGCTGATAGAGGAGCAACAACAGGAATACTCCAGATCTCGTAATGAAAGGGAGGGGGTCCCAACCCTCCCAGATGAGAAGTTTTAGAGCCCCCCAGACCATCCATGAGAAGGCGGCCCTTTGCCCAGACCCCCCCCAGCCCTCCAAGACAGCTCAAATCAGACCCCCCCCAAATGTGACCCCCCCGCCTTTATTATGGAATGCGGAGTAAGCATAAACTCTTGAAGGTCCACGCGGACTTCTTGGATCCGCGCTGGACCCCCCCTCCCTGGCGCGCGGAGCGCGCCAGGGGCGGCGCCGGAGGCGCCGCCGCAGGGGCCCGGCGCGGAGCCAAGAAATCTGCGCGGAGCGCAAACAGTTTACGTTCACGGCGGTTTTTCTTCTTCGAACGCCAGCGTTGAGTCCTCAGGAAAAAACAGTTCGACCGCAACTGTTTGTGGCAGATGCCGGCAGAACGGTGCGGGAGGGAGGGCGGGCGGCACGGACCAACGGGTTCGCCGCGTCCGCTTCGGGTCTTCTGGGTCACGCTCCGTCTGCTCAGGGTCCTCGGGCCAGGCCGCACGGGAGAGGACACGAACCCGACTGCCGCTTCGCCCCTTCGCTGGCAACTCATGGGGGCCCCCATGCCATTTTGCAGGCTCTTGCAAATCGACGCTAACCGACTATGAATCGACGCTCATCGACGACAGCCGCTAATTTCGACGCTAATCTACGCCAAATCGGCGCTTTCTCATCGATTGCCAAACGCTTGCGCACGCTTGAGCACCCTGAGACGGAATTTGGAAGAAATACAGAGGTCCCGTAATTTGCTACCGCATTCGCCCCCACAAAACTCCACTCCTCCGCGAACGTCACGAAGCAAAGGCCGCTCTGGGAGTTGAAGAGCTTGACCTTGCCGTCGTACCTGAGGGCACCCCTTTCCTTGCACTTCGCGATCGAGCCGGCTGAGGGGCGAACCGCAGAAGCGCTAAGCATCAGCACGCCCGGAATTTCTGTGGCAGAAGCGCAGAACGAGACTCCACCCAGACGACCGTCGCAGCCTGAGCGGAAGCATCGCGCGAGCCGCCCAGATGAGGACGAAAGCATCTCCACTCGGGCTCAGCCCTGAGGGATTTCGCAGCGCTGGGCACGCCCCGAATGGGTACGGAAGAAATTGGCGCGATGTCCAACAGCTGATGTTGTCCGTAGCCGCCAGCGGCCGCTGTTGAGCAGGCGACTCTTATCGCAGGTGGACAAACGTCCGCAGCGACACCGGCAGCCAGCCCAGGTCAAAGAGACAAGAGCTACAGTCGGACTTGATTGGAGAGGACACGCGAGAGGACACAAGACCCTTGCGAAGGCCACATCGCCATTGGAGTGTAAGAAGGCACGTGTCGCGAGGCACAGGACACAAGGATACCCTTGAGCTGGCAGGGTCGACCTACTATTCTGGGCCGGCTGTACTCTCAATCGTTCTTCCCCTTTCGGGCGTTGCCAGAACTGGGTTTAGTGTGACCTGGTTGAAAGATGTGTACTGGGGGACGCCCCCCCCGCCCCGTTCCACTAACCGGAACTGCCGTCACCCGAAAAACACCAGCTACGGCAGACCTGGTTTGGTCATTCTGGCCAATTTAGGGGCTCCGGGGTCCTACCACTAACCGGCTCCCCTTACCTGGGGTCCTGGCTGTACCCGAGAGGCCGCCCGAGACAATCTTCGGGGCCCATGGTGCTAACGACTTGCGAGAATGTCGCCGGCTCCCATGAGCGCGACTTGCTGACCACTTCCGCCGAGAGGGCGGTGCAGCTCGTACTTGCTGACCCTTCTTTCCGTCCCACTTCTGGTCCTCCAGAGAGCACGGCCGTCGCGTCCTGGGCCGGCGTGCCCGGGACGCGACAGCCGCTCGTGCTGGTGCTGCTCCCCGAATCGGGCCCGCGGTTGGCGCCCTCCTCACTCCTCCTCACTCCTCCTCCTCCTCCTCCTCCTCCTCCTCCTCCTCCTCCTCCTCCTCCTCCTCCGCCTCCTCCTCCTCCTCCTCCCTCCTCCTCCTCGCCTCCTCCTCCCCCTCCTCCTCCTCCTCCTCCTCCTCCTCCCCTCCTCCTCCTCCTCCCTCCTCCTCCTCCTCCTCCTCCTCCCCCTCCTCCTCCTCCTCCCTCCATTCTCGGGACACCAGGCGACCGCCCTTGGCTGGTCTTGGGACATGCTGCAGCCATCTGTTCTTCCTCCGCTGGACAGGCGGCCTCCAGATCCCAGCGGACCCACCCCACGCCGAGGACGGCCGCAGGGCGGCCACTGCGCGGGCCCCCAAGGAGAGCGACAGCCTCCAGGGCCTCCAGGAAAGCGACAGCCTCCAGGAGGAGGAGGAGGAGGAGGAGGAGGAGGAGGAGGAGGAGGGGAGGAGGAGAGAGGAGGAGGGAGGAGGAGGAGGAGGAGGAGGAGGAGGAGGAGGAGGAGAAGCAGGAGGTGGAGGAGGAGGAGGAGGAGGCAAGCCCAGGCCAGCACAACACCCATGATCGAGGCCCGCGTCCTGCCGAGACGTCGCCGCGGAGCCACTGCTGGCCCGCGGATAACGCACCCCGGCAGGGCTTGAGCAGCGAACGCCAGCTTTGCGCCTCGATGTGGGCACGAGCACCGCAGCGCCGACAGAGCAGGTATTTGCCTGCAGCCTGAACCTAGTGTTCGAAGTACTTACAAACTTCAGGGGCCGGGGGGGGGAGGAAGATCTGTCGGAGGGTCTTGAAGGTCAACGGCGCTTGTTCTTTCGTCCGTCTCACTGCCCCGCCACGTGCCACCCATCTTCTTTTGGACGATCTGGTCACTGACATGACACAACCGCCGTAACGGTCTGGACTTTTACACGGGGGGGGAGGAGGAGGAGGAGGGGAGGAGGAGGAGAAGGGACAAGAGATTTTCCAGATGGCGAATGATACGAATCCCGTCGGAGACGTATCAGCCCCAACGTTGCATAAAAGTTGTGTTATCAATAACGCCTACCAGGTAGCCCAAGCGGCCACGCGAATCTATCCAACACAGCATTGGACGATCTGGTCACTGATGGCGCGGGGCCTTAAAAATTAAGATGAATGCAGAGAATGAGGTCGGCGCCCAAACCTCGGGTCCAAACCTCTGCCGGCTGTCATGTTTTTTTTTGTTTCTGGTATGTTATGTATGTTATGTTTGTTCACGGGTCGGCTCTGCATAGTATATGATGAGATGCTCTGCTAGAATGTGTCGCTATGCTCTGCTGTCGTGCTATTACATGTTCTGTGATGCTACGCCATGATGTGATATGCTCTGTCAAGGTGTGCTATGTTATGCTCGGCTATGTTCTTTTATATTGTGGTATGTCCTCTGTTCTACCATGCTCTGCTCTCGTATGTCCCCTGATTGTTATGACTGTTGAAGTTCGGCTATGCAACATAGATCATGACATGTTATGCTCGTCTGTGTCTGTCGTGCTATACTGTCTTATGTGATGTTGTGTCATGATATGATATGTTCTGACACGCTGTGCTCTGTTAGGCTAGATGATGTTATCGTATCACGTGTGCGCGTCCGCGCCAAATGGAGGCATGATCTGGATACCGCTCGGGACGCTGTCCCAAGTCTGTATGCGCAGTATGAAAATGCTTCACAGACTGGTACTTAAGCGTCAATGGTATAAGAGAGGAGGGAAGAGGAAAAGGAAGCTGCGCAGTAGAGCCTAAATGGCTAGGGTAACCCTTGCCATGAGACAAGCTCTACGGAACAGGGGAAAGAGGAGAGCACCCGTCCCTACAATACTGTAGCTTGGCATGGTGGCTGCTGAACGCTCCCAAATACACATGCCACTGCGCAAAATCGAATCCCTTGCGGAGAAGCGCCACGCGCCTCCTCCCCGCAAGGCCGAGAGCGGGGAAATACCCCGAACGGCGCCGAACGCGCCCCGCTGGCCCGCGGTGTGCTCTGAAGTGTTCTGGTCTGTCATGTTCTGCTCTGGTGTGTTATGCGATGTTATATTATGATATACTGTGTCATGACATTGCTGTGTTCTGTTATATCATGTTATGGCATTATCAAGTTATGTGATGTCATGCTATGTTGTGTCATGCTGTGCTATGTCGTGTTCGTCGTCGCTATTCTCTGCCGTCGTGTTATGATATGTTCCGTGATGTTGTGCCATGATTAGATATGTTATGTCAAGGTGTGTTACGGTATGCTCGGCTCTGTTATGTTATGATGTGGTGTGTCGTCTTCTGTTATGCCGTGTTGTGCTCTGGTATGTTCGATATGTTTTTCGATGCTCGACTTTGTCATGGCACTGCTATGCTATGTCCTGCAATGGTCTTTCATACTCAATGTTATATTCTGGCATGCTCTGTTGTGTCATGTTGTGTTCTGTCGTGTTCGTCGTCGCTATCCTCTGCTGTCGTGTTATGATATGTTCGATGATGCTGTGTCATGATCTGAAATGCTTTGTCAAAGTGAACACTTGTATGCCCAACTCTGGTATAATACGTTGTGTTATGTCGTCGTATGTCATGTCATGCGGTGCTCTGGTGGTATGTCCTGCGATGTTATGTCAAACTCTACTGTGTCGTGATATCAAGGTGCTTTATTCCGTCAGGTTATGTCATGCTGTGTTCCGCTATGCCATCATCTGTTATGTCATGCCATGTTCTGTCGTGTATCGTCGATGGCGAGAGGCGGGACACCCGGGACTCTCGGGGAGCATCGGACAAATTTGAAGGGGCCCTGGGACACACAAATAAATACACACAAATAAAAGGATTCCCCATATTTTCCAATATTTTCTGGGTTTTTGTCTTCCCGCCCAATTCCCATATTTTCCTATATTTTCCTGGGACTCGACGATTAATTGTGTCTGTGTGTTTCTTTCCCTCCTGACAATTGGGGCCTCGCGGCCGCGGTATGCACGCTGGGGTTGGCCGGGCGCGAGGCGGGATATAACCGGGACTCTCGGGGACCCTCGGGACCACCTGGGGCCTGGCGGCCGCGGTGTGCAGGCTGGGGTTTGGTCATGGGCCCTGCTCTAGGGCGACGAGATCTATGCATATCCACTGCTCCTGGCCAGGCCCATCCTGGGCCCAGGAGCTGTGTATATGCTTCCCTGGCGAGGCCAGGAGGGCGTATACACCGCTCCTGGGCCCAGGATTGGCCTGGCCAGGAGCAGTGGATATGCATAGATCTCGTCGCCCTATGTTCTTGAAACCGAACAACCCCAACCTGGCGGCGGCGCCCGACCCTCGGCGCCCAGATCGCTGCCGACTGGGGCTGAAGCGATCCGTGCCGGATGGGCGATCACTGCGTCGAGGGTTGGGAAGGTCAGCGGGGCTCTTTCTTTCGTCCGTCTCACCGCCACGTAAAGTGCCGCTCCCCCTCTTCAAAACAAATTAGGATGAATCATTTTGCCTCGAGCGATCCCCATCGAAACCTCAAGCGTTTGTTCCGACGGCGCGCGGTCGCCGAATTGGTCGACAACTGCCGTCTCTGGAGTCAAAACGGTTCAGCCGTGTTCCATGTAGTCACGTTCTCTCACGCCGGCGTGACGTCGTGACGCCAGTGACGTTAGATGCGTCATCTGTTATACTGCTCCTCTTCGCTTATACGTTTCTCTTATGATTGAATATGTTATGATATGATTATGTCACCATGCGTTATGTCAAGTTCTTTCGTCCGTCTCACTGCCCCGCCCCTCCCCTTCAAAACAGAACAGCTCCCTCGGCGCCCCGCCGCTACCGGCACTGCTCGAGAACCCAGGTCTATATATATGAACGGACACTCGCCCCTGATGAAAAACTGACCTGCAAGTTCGGAAAAACAAAGGAGCCCTCGCCGCGCCCGGGGGAGGCCGCGACGCGGCTCGAAGCGTGCAGCGCGAACGGGTGGCCGTACGAGGCCCTGCAGACTCGCGCCGCAAATTCGTG